TTAGAAATTGCCATCGGTATACTGGGTCGGGACGGACCCGAACATCGTGGCTCAGGAGGCGATGCTATTATGCTAGACAGAAATTGCTTCGTCTCTTTTTTTAAAGCAGCTGGGAAGTTGCATAAAACTGTTGACAGACGGCTGAAAATAGCGGAAAATTGCTGGCAGCGTAACTACGAAAACATTGTTGAGGGTTGACACTAAAAATGGCGGAACATAGTTGATCGTGAAAAGTATCAGAACATTGTTGAATTTGTTAGCAGACAATTTTTGATAGGGAAAGTGCCGGGACATTGTTGCAAGATCCAAATTTTTTAACCGACAGTTTTCTCATGCGAAAAGTACCACGATATATGTTGAAATTCGACTGCAACTTTTGAGCGGATAATTTTCGATGCGAAAAGTACCAGAACATTGTTGAATAACGGTTTAACCTTTTAGGCACGACGCGCCACTATAGTGGCTTCCGCGGATATCATCTTTTAGAACGACACGCCACTATAGTGGCTTTCGCGGATGGCATCTCTTTGGACGACGCGCCACTATAGTGGCTTGCTCTAATAGCTCACATGCTCAACGTTTGAACCAAGTAATCGTCTTCATATGCATTGTTTCACACTTCTTTTGTCTTCACATCGATTTACAACAGTCTACAGGGTGTCACAAAAATGTCTCGCAATCCGGAAATGGCGGGTTCCTCGGATCATTTGAAGCAACTTCTTTCTTTACAAAAATTTTCTCCGAGGCGCCGTTAACGAGTTATTAACGAAAAACAGTGACCAATAAGAATCGAGTACGGCTGACGCGAGGCGGCCCAGCCAACCAGCGCGCGAAGCCCAGTTCCGCTCATTGGCTCGGCCGCCTCGCGCCAGTTGAGCTGGGATTCGACACTAATATTAAACTAATACTATAATAAAATTAATTTAAAATAAAAATTCCATTAAAATTTTATCTCCTATAATAAAATTTTAAAAAATTTAATTTATTAGTACATTTAATTAAGGTAATAAAATTATTATTATGAAATAATTTTTAATTAAATATATTCATCAATTCTGACACTAATATTAAACTAATACTATAATAAAATTCATTTAAAATAAAAATCTCATTACCGCTGGCGCCGCTGGCTCGGCCGCCTCGCGCCAGCTGAGCTGGGATTCGACCGCCTCAACCGCTGGCGCCATTGGCTCGGCCACCTCGCGGCAGCTGATTTCGCCTCTCATTGGTCACTGTTTTTCGTTAATAACTCGTTAATGGTGCCTCGGAGAACAGTTTTGTAAAGGAAAAAGTTGCTTCAAATGGCCTGAGGAACCTTCCTCTTTCGGATTGCGAGACATTTTTGGAACACCCTGTATATACAGACAGAATATACAGTATCAGACTCTGTACTGTACACATCAGACTCTGCCGTCCAGAGAAACAGCCTCGCGCAGAATTCAGCCGTACCTAAAAGGTTAAAGTAGCAGGAAATTGTTGACAGCAAAAGTACGAGAACATTGTTGATAGTTAAAAATGGCTGAAAATTGTTGATAGCCAGAACGTTGATAAATGAAAATGGCTCGAATTGCTTGGTAGAAAAAGTACCCGGTACATTGTCGAGAAACCGGCGAAAATAATAGATTCTCGAGAAAGTTAGCCCACCAAATTGTAACATCTGTTTTGAAATTACTCGGAAGAAAGAAGAAAATATTTCCCACGTAATTTCAATCTCTTTGAATACAGATTTATGATAACAACATTGAGAATACGATGTTTCTGGGATCGACAACATGTTGCCAAATTGATTAAACCAGGGATGGACAAATTGATTGTTCCGAAACAGTTTTCAACACTCTTAAATAACGTTAACGATAATGCGATTAAAATAGCCGTAAATCTTTGTGTTTGCTAATCCGAATGAAAAGTATAGCGGCCGGTAAACCGCGGGTCAATCCTTTCAGTGTAAACAGCGATTTTCTATTTCCGTAGTGTAAGTTACCCCTATCCGCGTTTGTCAGGATTAACAGAGATTACACGGAATTATTTTGTCGTTTTATTGTGTTAATCTGGTCTCACAGAGGGTTTCCACCGTGTCGTTCGTTTTATTACAATGCTCGCTTAACGCCTGTCATTTCTATGATCGCATATTATTATCTGTTACGAAGCCGCGAGCTGACCGTTCACACGGTCAGTCACCTTATCGAAAATTCTTTTCACGTCGTCCAGAAACCGAAATTGTTATCATTTAATCAGTTTCAACGTCAAGACAGACTCTCTTTTTTCTCTGAAGCTCTCCCTTTTTTCTTGTTTTTCTCTTCTTTTTTTTTAAATCGAAACGGGATTCTATTTTTCCGCGATCAATACTTACACGCCGGGTCAAATGTGGCAAACTTTTTTCGTCTTTTAGGAAATTATTAATGCAATAAAATTCTAATTATCGAAGCAGCGAGAAAATTGGTACTGCAAGTTGTTAATAGGATCCGAATGCTTTAACACTAGATTTACGGAGCACAAAGAACAGCTGTTTTATATTAGTTTATAGATCGTGATGACTATACAACTGTGGATTTTATGAAATTTTATAGACCAGATCAACTACAAAACAGTAAAAACATTTGAAGAATTTGAAAATACTGTTGTATTATTGCGAAGTCAATAACATAATTAGAGAAAGAGAGAAATGTCTGTGTAGCTTTCTTTTATCTTGCTATTAATGCGAACAATATTTATTTTGTATAAAAGTCCGCGATGACTAAAAACAATACGATGATCAACGTGACTCGTCGTCATTGTTACCTATTGTTAAACTTCGTTTCAAGGGAAACTACCATTTTCGTTGCTGACGTTTCCGATAAACGTGATCGCTAGACCGCGGATCTTTGTGCAAAATAAAACTTCTTCAAGTTAATTGTAAGAAACGCAAATTATTTGAAAATATCTCCCTTCCTTTATTAATTATAATAAATCGAAAATAATCTAACGATATCCTCAAATCCTTCTGATGACCTTACAATCTTATATTCGACCGTTTCATTTTTCTTATAAACGCATAAAATCCGCAGTAAAGCGATCATTCGCCGGATAAATTTCGATTTCGATGCTCCGAATTAAAATTAACCGTGTCGCCGCTGTCCAAGCAATCCTCTTCCTCTAGCCATCAGTCGGAAAGAACCTCCAAGTTTCAGGACACCGTTCGCGCAGTAACAAAATTCTATACCAGGGATTAACCGCTACAATCGAGCATCGTGCACGTGAAAAAACGCGAAACCTACCCGCGGAAATAACCATCTTGGATCGAACATTAAATAGAACAAATAGTCGACCAGCATACGGTTCAGGTCGACATGCGATCGTAGGGCGAGTTCTACAACCCGGATCTAACCACGCGTACAGCCTAACCAACAGCGAAATGGGTTCCTGATGAAATCGATATCCTCAATCGAGAAACTTCAGCGAAGTTCGCCGGGTCCGCTGTGACCCCTAACGCCGACGTTCACCGGGATTCCGAATTCCGACCGAACCACCCGCGGTCATGGATTTTATTCAGCGCCTGGACGCGTGCTACCAGGAAAATGAAACTATGGTCTCGTTTTGGAAAGTAGAGAATCCGGGCTTTGCCGACAATCGCGGTAGAAACAAACCGCTGCTATCGATGCCATTCTACTCCTAACCGTGAAACCAGAAAACATTGTGCGATTCATCGTTTTCAAAAGGAAAGGGGATAATCACCGAACCGAACGTGACTTTGTAATCTTTTCGGGCGAAACCTGTCGTCGACGGGTCGTTGTCAATAGACCGCGGATCTTTATGCAAAATAAGAATTTCGTTCGTCGATCGCAAGAAGCGGAAGTTCAATCGTGCATCCGTTTGATCAGCTTCATACCGTCGAAATAGTACTATGCAACAGCGTTCTTAAATTTCTCCGAAAGATGTTCTCATCGTTTCGCGGTTCATTCGTTCAGCTTCGTCATAAACGTATGAAATCCGCAGTCCAGTTATCGGAATGTAGACAATCCGTGTAAAATCTACAGTGTGTAGTCGTCATCTATCTAAAGACCCTCTGATACGAGTCACGATATAAAGTCCGCGATTCTGATTGGTGCTTCCACGTTCAAGCACAAGTAATATCAATTTATGTATACAGTATGGCACGGCTATGTCGCCATTTTATTTCGCTATGTTTACTACAGGCGCATGTAAACGACGATCACGACAACGAAGTAAACAGAGTCCGTGAAATTCTACTGAACAATGACGTTCAACGACTTAACTTTGCCCTCATTTCGCGACTCTTATTATAGAGGCTCTCCGCAACTGCCACCTCCAAAGTCCAACATCTAATTTTTTATCGCAGTTGGAGTGCTCTATAAAATCTATAAGCTACAATCTATAATTTTCTACGTCTCTCTATTTCTCCCCTCCTCTCTCTCTCTCTCTCTCTCTTTCTCTCTCTCTCTCTCTCTCTCTCTCTCTCTCTCTCTCTCTCTCTCTCTCTTATAGCAGAACCAGTGATTCNTGTAGACAATCCGTGTAAAATCTACAGTGTGTAGTCGTCATCTATCTAAAGACCCTCTGATACGAGTCACGATATAAAGTCCGCGATTCTGATTGGTGCTTCCACGTTCAAGCACAAGTAATATCAATTTATGTATACAGTATGGCACGGCTATGTCGCCATTTTATTTCGCTATGTTTACTACAGGCGCATGTAAACGACGATCACGACAACGAAGTAAACAGAGTCCGTGAAATTCTACTGAACAATGACGTTCAACGACTTAACTTTGCCCTCATTTCGCGACTCTTATTATAGAGGCTCTCCGCAACTGCCACCTCCAAAGTCCAACATCTAATTTTTTATCGCAGTTGGAGTGCTCTATAAAATCTATAAGCTACAATCTATAATTTTCTACGTCTCTCTATTTCTCCCCTCCTCTCTCTCTCTCTCTCTCTCTCTCTCTCTCTCTCTCTCTCTCTCTCTCTCTCTCTCTCTCTCTCTCTCTCTCTCTCTCTTATAGCAGAACCAGTGATTCCGATGACGACTCTGGTGGAGGACAATTCCAACAGCGTCCACAGTCCTCGTTCAATACACGATCCTCCAGCATAGCCCTGAACCGTTCAGCTGACAAATCGTCTAGAAAACAGGCAAACCATCCAAAACAATGACACACACTCGTCGCAGTGAGCGATGCTGCCTTCAGCATCGCAGGAACATCTCGGTAGACGTCTCATCAAAAGAGCAACGATGATCGCAGAGCCTCGAACTAACTCGTTCCCGTTGAAAAGGTTAGAAAGGCGGGGCAATGGCGGCGCTGTTAGACCTACAATCTAAGGGACAGGATCATCGAATAAAAGGACACCCTGTATATTCGCAGTACGGAAAGCACTTCGTGGACGTTTCGTTCGGCGTTTCGGGATTGGCGTCACCGCCGCGGCCCCCGCAGTTTCTGGTTCGAACACCGGGACCCTGGCGTAGCTGTAATGAAGCACGGGCACCGAGTACCAAGCCGGGTCTCCCCTCGTCGCCACGCCGCGCCGCGCCGCGTCGCGCGGCGCCATGCCGGCTCGCGTCGCGCCACGGCGAACCAGCGCCACGCCATCGCTCGCCGTGCCACGCCGGTCCGCGCCGCATCGCGCCACGCCAATGCTGGGCCGCGGCGTTGCCACGCCACGCCGCGCCACGCCACGCGGGATCTCCGTGCGCCGACAGCCCCCGACACCGGCTAGTTGGAATAGGGGAAGCCCGGGTGGCCCGCGCATGCGCGAGGGTAACACGGAAAAAAATCGGCCCAGCTAACGGGCTAGGAAGGGGCGCAAGGGGGCGCAAAGGGGGTGGCCGTATCGATCGCGCTAACATCGGAGTCCGCGGCGAGTCTGTGGGCACAGGCGTCGTGCACCCATGATGACGACGACGACGACCACCATGGGTACCGACTCCTCGGCGATGACGTCCGTCGAACCCCCTGGATCAGGCTGCTGGCCACCCTGGATCAGGCGAACAATTAAACCTCCGGTTTCTTCAACTTCCATCGATCCAGTTTTGCCGAGGTCATTGCATTTTAACCCGATTTCGGTATATCCAATTTTTGCCTATTTTTCGATGATCTTGGGCTGTGGAACTATGACGCGAATGCGACAGGCTGCTGGAAACATTATTCTGGATTTTATCGGTTTTTTGGAGGGGGGCGTTTGGTTTCTCTTGGAGTAGCGTGGTTTTTTGTATATTTACTTATTTACTTTATTTTAAGTAATTTTGAGGGTTGAAAAAATATGGAAACGGAGCGGCACGGGGTTAATGGACCTTTCCTTTCTATCCACTATTTTTCATTCGGTTGATTTTCAGTAATTTCGGAGATGATGATTTTGGAGATGGAGAAAGGTGGAGCGTACGAGGTGAATGTACCAGAAAATGGTGGGAATATTAGACATCCTGGTTTTTCCTAGTTAACCTGATTTATCTTGCTTGAAATAATATGACGGTATTTTTCTAGCAATTAATGTGCAATTATTTTAATTTCGACAGTTTCATGGGTTGAGAACATGTGGAATTGATACGGCATGAAGAATTATTCTGGGGCCAATGGGGATTTTCTTACCCTCTGCTGCCTTTCGTTCGGTTAATTTTTAGTAATTTCGGGAACGATGATTTTAGAAATGAAGGAGGGTGGGATATTTTTTACCAGTTTTTGGACTGATAAGTTTTCCTTGAATTAACCCCTCAACCATATATAAGGGACCATGTATAAGGAAGCCTAGTTGTGCCCAAAGAAATGTATTGCAAGTATACCACATAATAATAAATAATACCGTACAATTTCTATATCAATGTATCTATATGATAATAAGTTCTAAAATAAATGTCATAACGTGTGCCATCGTTGGGGTATTAATATAATTTTATTTTTCTAGTTCTTCGTTTCGGGTTATTTTATTTTGGACAGTTTTAAGGGTTTTGAACGAATGGAATTGAAATTGCAGAGAAAATTATTTCAAGGACGATATACATATATTTTGTCTACCCTTCCTCGGTTATTTGATTTTCGGTCATTTCAGGGATGATTTTATAGACGCGGAAGAGCGAGTTGTACGAGGTCGATGCGCAATGACGATGGAAACATTATTCTGGTTTGAATCAGTTTTTGGACTGGTTTCGTTACGAATAACTTTGTTTTACTTAATCATCATTTACTTACTCAATCAACCATGGGGATAGCGTGGAAATGAGAGGACAAGGGCGAGCATTATTCTATAATAATTATTACCAGTTTTTGTATCGATTTGGTTCCCTTGATTCGAGACACACGATTGTATTTTCCCAGTTCTTCCCTTTTTGATTATTATCCTTCGTTAAATTTCGGCGGTGACGACTTTAAGGGTTCGGTCAGCATGGAAATGAGCCCGTGTGGAGAAAATTATTCTCGTTTCTGTCAGTTTTTAAATCGATCGGTTTCCTAAAACTGGGACGATTGTATTTTTTCCAGATGTTATTTTCGAATTGTTTCATATCATAATATTAAGGGTTGAAAAATTGTGAAAGTAGACACAAGTGTGCAGGGTATTTGAACGTAACCTTGAATTAAATGAATTTTTTTTCAAATCGAAGAATTGCTTTCTCTGCGCTTTTTGGTTTCCATTCGAGTTTCGATGGTGATGATTTTGAAGGGGATGAGAAAGTGTGACAATGGGGGGAGGAGGGAGACGTATGGATACAGCAAAATGCGACGGCAAGAGAATTATTCTGGTTTTTACCTGTCTTTGATTTCGATCTTCTCTCTTTTTTTCCGCGTGCTTTTTTTCATCATATCTCTCTCTCTCTCTCTCTCTCTCTCTCTCTCTTTCTCTCTTTCTGTATTTTTTTTCTTTTTTGGTTTCAGTAGGCGGTTTGATTCGATGGCACGCGGAAACGAGCACGCGAGAGAATCGCGGATTTTTCTCCTCTTCCGTTGCCCGGAATCGTTTGATTTACCGGCGATTGATGTGTAACCTTCAACTAGCCGAGTGTACTCACCTCCCTTGAGGCAAATGTTTGTGGAGCGAAGTTCGTACTTTATTGGAGTGATATTTCGTCAAAGGGTTAACGAGATTATCTTCAGCGGGTATTGTTCGTAGAAATGGGCACAGAGCACCGAGCTGGTTTGAAAACGATGATTCCGTGCTGCCCGAGTCCCATTGTAACGACAAATTGTCTCATTAATTACCGGGAAAAATCATTTTTCACAATTGCTCTAATCTGTCGCCTTTATATCCGATTTAGAAGTCGCTCGAATTTCGAGAAAATTTAAGATTTCTAATTCTGCTAAAGTGACATATACTAATATTTTTCAATACAAAGGAAATCTGTTTCTATGATTATTATAGATTTTACAGGGCGAGTCACGTAACTTGCACATCTCGAAATCTTCAGTAATAATAATAATAATAATGTCGAACGCACGTACATGTAACAATCTTGTATTTGCTAAATAAACCATCTGGTTTAAAGCATTAATAAATATTAATTAATTAAATATTGTAAAATAATAAATAAATAAATAAATAGATAGATAAATAAATAAATAAATAAATAGATAAATAAATAGATAAATGAGTAAATAGATATTTAGATAAATAAATAAATGAATAAATAGCTTTAAAATTATGTGTTTTATAAAAAATTGTTCAATATAACAAAATTTTCGTTTTTACACCGTGGAACTTTTGTGTTTCGAATTAATCCGATTTTTGTGTTATCCAAAAGTTATCCGGTTCCACTCGACAAATTGTTACAAATCCGAGAGAAACAAATATTTATAATAAGAGCGCTACATTAAATTCGTTTCGAGTTACGTAATTTTCCAGTGCATCGGGCAGATTTTATTTCTTCCTGCCGTCCAATGAGATTTGTGTATCAGAGCTTGCCGAGTTCGATAAGGAAATAGAAAAGACGGGTATGATTCAATAGGAATTTGAAGGTCGAAAGTCGACTTCAATACGGAGGTAAAACGAAATCGTCAATCTATAAGACTCTTTCTGGAGAGAAAAAAAAAGCTTATCCGCTAGAGCTGCTGCTCGGGAACGGACATGTGCGAACGAACGACAATCTTTCGCCTATTACGCATAATTTATTTATTACGGATAATTTTGTTTGCAACGGTCTCGCGCGTGTACGTTACATATATACGATTTAATTTTTAACCAAAATAATTTCTGACCGAATTGAAATTTCGCGAAAATTACAAAGTGAACGCAGAGACAACGAGTGATCGTCTGACGATAACTTACGGTTGAATGGAACAGATCCGGCAACAGGGTTTATTAATTAATTCATTAATTATTAAATTAATGTATGTTAATATTTAACGTTAGAACTATCGAGTCCTAAACGTGACTAGTGCATACTGTTTTATAACAACGGCAAGATTGGCTTTATTTGAACTTCCTTCGAGTTTTATTGTAATATGTGCTTGAATGAAGAAGTTTGTATAAAGATTTCTGACAAAAACATTTTCGTAGTCTCAGGAATTGTAAAAGAAGAAAACGGATGCCCGTCATTTCGACGGATCTTGTAATGCTGGTGTTGATACACTTTATATAAACGATTGTTTGAAATTCTTCGCAAACTTGCAAGAGATTAGACAGTTGATAAGATCGGTTATTTTTGCAAAGGGTACGTTCGGACATTAAAATTCCGAGGTCACCGAATCTGTCCATTTGGCGCCCTCCCATTACTCAGGTCAAGAGTATTCGCGTGATTACCAGGTGTAATTTTGACGGGCCATTTTCACTTTATGGACCAGGTGACTAATAGTTATTTACAGAAGATTAAATTTATGTAAATTTAATTCAATTAAATCCTCCGGGGTTTAGCATACTCCGCGCGAGTAATGCAGGGTTAACTGCAGAGAACACTAACGGTTCGGACGGATAGCTTAGCGCGGAGTGTATGAAAATTAACACTAGATCTACGGAGCATGAAGAAAACAGCTGTTTTATATTATTATAATTAACATATATATATACATATAAATAATATAATATAATATAATTAATATATATAATTAATAATATATAAATTAATATATAAATATATATATATATGTTATATATATATATATATATATATATATATATATATATATAATTATAATAATATAATATAATTTATATATACATATACATATATTATTATAAGCAACAATAAGACATTTATTCTGATTTTAACAAGCGTTGTTGTAACATTTGCCGTAAGTAACATGTAAATTGAATGAATAACTCGTAAATGTATCT